ATCTCCCGCTCAATTATTAGCAAGTTTATGTTCTTATACCTAAAACCTCCACATGTGAGATATCTTCCAACATTAGCATTATTTCAACATTGACATTATCTTAAGGTGACGACAAATCGGACCAGACAAAAATAATACGCCCTCCATCCCACTATAATTGTGGATCTAATTCAATCTAACTTTAATATCACTTTATTAACTTATTATCAATCACATAATTCCACTTTTCTTAAAAACCACACCACTTCCTTCTGTATCAATATTAGGAGGACGGAGGTAGTAGTAGAATTGACATAATTATCCAACTAACAAAAACTTAGAGTATGCTTCTAATTAGATTTACCACATTTTCACCTGAAGTAATTAATCTGCGTTCTAGCTTTTCTAGCTCAATTATTAGCAAGCTTATCTTCATATACATAAAACCATTACATATGAGAGGGAAAATTCTCCTGCTCAATTGTTAGTCAAAATTTTGTCTCGGCATTCAAATTGAACATTTGAGAAATGGTATTTTTATGGGAGAAAGCTCAAAAATGACACCATGGTTATTTAAGAAGTTCAGATTGGACATTAAACTTTTAAGTAGCCCAAATAAACACATAATCAACTAATTTGGATTATATTTGGCCACCCATTTATATTTCCGTCTAATTGGACGTTAACAACCCATGCCTCCCCGTCGTTATCATTCTTCACCGGCTTGACCAACTCCAATACTCCATTCTTGCACTCCAATTATTAATTCTCAAATCTCAATTTCACTTCCTCCCTGCCGAACACATTCTCTCTTCTCCAAACCTTCACTTTCCTCTATCTTCATTTTGTCGCTGCTGCTGAGGCCTCCAATATCTTCATTTCACCCTTCTCCTAGACCACCCTCGTCTTACCCTTCTCTGCCCACAAATCGCCTTGCCCTTCTCCGTCCAAGATTGCAATTTTATCCACATCCAGTACTTGGAGGAAGCTACTATTGCTATCCAAATTGATTCCCCGACTTATCTCCACCCAGCCGGAATGTCCACGCCTATTTTTTTGTTCTTATAAAAAACCCAAATTTGATGGTAGTATTACCAATCTCATATCGCATAAGCAAAGCCCTCGATCTGGTTTCATCTTTCCTTCTATTAAGCCACACTCAGTCCAACCATACGGCCACTGTGTGCATTGCAATTTCAAATTGCATTCCCTGTGGGTCTGCCAGAATCAAAATAGTGTTTTGGGGGGAGAGGAAGGAGGTACAATTTAATTTGTTTATCCGGCTTACCTTAAATTTCAGCAACAGTTTTCCAAAAGAATGACTAAGCCTGCAACCATAAGAATAAGGCACAACCAAGAAAATTAAGAAATTGGTCGGACTTATATCGTGCAATTAAGAAATTGGTCGGACCTATTCTTAGATTTGGGCACGAAGGAACTTAAAGAGAGGCATGACTGATGGAAAAGTTCATCAAAATAATTATTCACTTGCAAATTGCACGAATGACAGAAACTAGAAGAAGATGATAATGAGAGAAGGGAATGCTTGAGTTAAACTGCACGTTAGATGATAAAGAGGTTAACCTTGGAGCACCGTTAAATTGAAACGTGAGTGGGTGGCCAAATGTTATCAAAATAAGTGGATTATGTGTTAATTTGGTCCACTTAAAAGCTAAGTGTCTAATTTGAGATTTATAAATAACCTTAGTGTCCTTTTTGAGCCTTCTCCCGTATTTTTATTCATCAATCAAATTATATCGAGAAACTTTTGAAGCGGTTTTACATGGATAAAGCACACCCGCTCAATTCTCCAATGGTGGTTCAATCTCTCAATGTGCATAATGATCCTTTCCGACCTTGTGAAGATGATGAAGAAATCCTTGGTCCCGAAATACCATATTTGAGTGCTATTGGAGCATTATGTATTTGGCTAATAATACTCGACCATATATTGTTTTTCCTGTAAATTTATTAGTCAGGTACAGTTCTTCCCCAACAAGAAGACATTGGAATGGCATCAAACATATATTCCGCTATCTCAATGATACAATCGATCTTGGATTGTATTTCAAGAATGGTGCAAATGCCGCTTTAATTGGCTACGCCGATGCAGGATACTTGTCTGATCCACAAAAGGCAAAATCACAAACAGGATATTTATTCACCTATGGTGATACCGCTATATCATGGAGATCAATGAAGCAAACATTAACTGCAACATCATCAAATCATGCAGAATTAATTGCTCGTTATGAAGCAGGTCGAGAGTGTGTCTGGTTGAGATCAACGATCCAGCACATACAAAATGAATGCGGTATAAAATCTTTTACTTCTAATCCTACTGTGATTTATGAAGATAATACATCATGTATAGCTCAGATCAAAGGAGGTTACATCAAAGGGGACAGAACAAAGCGTATAGCACCAAAACTTTTCTCCACACATGATCTTGAGAAAGACGGAACGGTTGATGAAACAAATCAAGTCATGCGACAACCCTGCTGATTTGTTCACAAAGTCATTGGCACCGAATAAATTTGAAGAACGGGTCCATAAAATTGGAATGTATCGTCTTCGAGATATGTTAAATTGAGGGGGGTCATATAATGCACTGCACTCTTTTCCCCTTCGTCAGGTTTTTATCCCACTGGGTTTTTCTTGACAAAGGTTTTTAACGAGACAGTACATTATAATACTATGAAACTAATACCCCAGAATAATTAGAAGATGACCATTCAAGGGGGAGTGTTGAAATATATTGAATAATCATCTTCCAACTATTCACGATCAGGAACACATTATCATCATTATTAATATAAATAAGAAATCATAAGTATGATTTCTAGATGGTAATTGTATGTCTCACAATTAGCCCCTGATCTACACCATGATTATATTTCCCCTATAAATAGGAGTATTCTCCTTCATTGTAAAAACACTATTATCACACTCTCAATAACATAATCTATCACTAAGTGTTCATACTATACTTTCTCTCCCTGATCTTCTGCTTATTTCCTTCAATATTATAACAAACACAGAGTAAGAAGATGTTCTCTTCACCTGACCTGAATGTTTCCGATCTGAATTTTTTAAGTTCTGATCTGATCTGATCTGAATTTTTTTGATCTGATCTGATCTGAATTTTTCTGATCTGAATTTTTCTGATCTGATCTGAATGTTCCTGATCTGATCTGAATATTCCTGATCTGATCTGAATGTTCCTGATCTGATCTGAATGTTCCTGATCTGATCTGAATGTTCCTGATCTGATCTGAATGTTCCTGATCTGATCTGAATGTTTCTGATCTGATCTGAATCCTTCTTATCTGATCTGATTTGATTTAAATATTTATTAAATTATAATTATAATTTTAATTACTATAATTATAAATGTAATTACACATATATAATTTAAATATAATTATAATTATAATCATAATTATAAAATAATTATAATTATAATAGGTATAATTATTATATGTATTACACTATTTATTAATATAGCTATAATTATAATTGTAATTATATTTTTAGTTATAGTTATTTCTATAATTTTAATTGTAATTATTCCATATAATATAATAATAACAAAAAAAAACTAATAACAATAACAACAACAACCATTCTAGTAGTAATAATAATAATAGTAATAATAATAATAATAATAATAATAATAATAGTAATAATAATAGTAATAGTAATAGTAATAGTAATAATAATAGTAATATTAATAGTAATAGTAATAGTAATAGTAATAGTAATAGTAATAATAGTAATAGTAATAGTAATAATAGTAATAATAATAATAATAATAATAATAATAATAATAATATTAATAATATTAATAATATTAATAATATTAATAATAGTAATAGTAATAGTAATAGTAGTAATAGTAGTAATAGTAATAATAGTAATAATAATAATAATAATAATAATAATAATAATAATAATAACAATAATAATAATAATAATAATAACAATAATAATAACAATAATAATAATAATAATAATAATAATAATAATAATAATAATAATAATAATAATAATAATAATAATAATAATAATAATAATAATAATAATAATAATAATAATAATAATAATAATAATAATAATAATAATAATAATAATAATAATAATAATAATAATAATAATAATAATAATAATAATAATAATAATAATAATAATAATAATAATAATAATAATAATAATAATAATAATAATAATAATAATAATAATAATAATAATAATAATAATAATAATAATAATAATAATAATAATAATAATAATAATAATAATAATAATAATAATAATAATAATAATAATAATAATAATAATAATAATAATAATAATAATAATAATAATAATAATAATAATAATAATAATAATAATAATAATAATAATAATAATAATAATAATAATAATAATAATAATAATAATAATAATAATAATAATAATAATAATAATAATAATAATAATAATAATAATAATAATAATAATAATAATAATAATAATAATAATAATAATAATAATAATAATAATAATAATAATAATAATAATAATAATAATAATAATAATAATAATAATAATAATAATAATAATAATAAGAAGGAGAAGGAGAAGGAGAAGAATTATAATAATAATTACAATAACAATAACTCGAATAATAATAATAATATTAATAATAATAATAATTATTATTATTATTATTATGATAATTATTATTATAATAAAAGGGATAAATCATGTGTGAACTTTTCTGATCTGATGTGAATGTTCCTGATCTAATCTGAATGATTCTGATCTAATCTGAATCTTTCTGATCTGATCTGAATGATTCTGATCTGATCTGAATCTTTCTGATCTGATCTGAATTTTTCTGATTTAATCTGATCTGATCTGAATTTTGTTGATCTAATCTGATCTGATGTGATGAAAATAAGAATAAGCCAAGTAATTAGGAGTACCTACCGGCTGAAGATTTCGCAGTCAGAAGCATCGGGACAACCCGAAAGCAAACCCGTTGAGTTGGATCTCCTATTGCATACACAATTCTCGATTTACAGTATTAATCCATCTTTAGCATCGTACTCGACAATACTTTTGTATTCCGTAAGTTTGAGAATTGCATATTGCTTATTTATCTTCACAGCGAAATCATGGAGTCGAAGAGTCAATCCCAGGACTTCGATTACCTATTCAAGTTGCTGCTGATAGGTGACTCCGGCGTCGGGAAGAGCAGTCTTCTTGTCAGGTTCACATCTGATACTTTTGAGGATCTCTCCCCAACCATTGGTAATACACGCACTGTTTATACTTTAACATGTTTCTGTCTTTCCTATATCAATTAGCGTGCTCTCAATAGCTTGACGCCATCGGAATCTGCTCAAAAGCAAATGCATGTGATTTAGATTGTATTTAATTTTTTCTTCACATTTGGGAACCACTCGAGCGTAGGTCACGGGGCCGATTTCCAAATATGCGTCCTTTTCCATCTTATATTTCATCACTGAAAAAGTCTTCAGCTGTATCCTTGATCTATTTTATGGGTATTAATCCTCTGTAATGCTGGTTTCTACAATGGCAGGTGTTGACTTTAAGGTGAAATATGTCGTCTCCGGAGATAAAAAGCTGAAGCTGGCAATCTGGGATACAGGTAATTTACTGGATGAGTCGTTTCTTAGACTGGTTTATCCTGGCTGTTTCATGTGAATTTTTCATATGATGAAGCTTATATTTGTTGGCCATCAACAGCCAGAGTATTGATTCCAAATATGCGGGATCTTACATATATGTTCTTTTTCTACTCTCCCTTGTCATGTGTTTGTGCACATGTGTCATAAGCTCAATGCCCTAAACAAATTGCAACCCTCACAATTCATGTCAGCTACTCATTGTGGGTCTCCATGGACCTCTTTTTGGATCATAATGCCTAATAACTTGTTTTTACCTCCACTGTATGTCATTGTTTTTGGCATGTCTATGATTCTATCCACGTATTGTAGTACGAAAGGGAGCTTCTCTCTGTAAATAAAACATCCAAGAATGAAATGGGAGAAGACTTTCTTAGGAGAAGGAATTTCCATAAACATTCCAACTTGATTGCTTCTTTTATTTCCTCTGCACTATGTAATATTCATCTCGTTATTAGCACTCTGAAGCTCATATCACCCTGATACATTCTTCTTGATATTATTAGCAATCTGAAGCTCATATCACCCTAATACATCTTCTTGATATTTTGTTTTGCAGCTGGTCAGGAAAGATTCAGAACACTAACAAGTTCATATTACCGAGGAGCACAAGGGATCATCATGGGTATTTCTTCTTTAGTTTGTTCTATGTTAATGACCTTTTTTTTTATAAAGTATTGCTCAAATGCACTGTGCTAGATTAGTACGTAGTATGTGACTCTCATCACTATTTACCTTGCTTTGACATCAATACTGAACCTCAGAGATAGGATAACATTTTTTACCTCACATCCATGATTTTTTGTCAGAGCAGTTTATGATGTCACAAGACGAGAAACTTTTACCAATCTTAAAGATATTTGGGCTAAAGAGATTGAACTTTACTCAACAAATCAAGATTGCATCAAAATGCTGGTTGGAAACAAAGTTGACCAGGTAAATTCTCCTGTGTTTCAAATTCCGAATTTCAATCAATTCATATTCCAAGTACTTATAACATAATCAATCTAGACTCCAAATTAGACCTGCACACCACCGAGCTCGGGACGGGCTCAGACCGGTATTTTTCTAAATTTTCTGCCCATCATTGGTGTGGGTGAGCCCGGCCCACAAGAAACAGATCTAACCATATGTCCATACCCGGCCTCAAGAGGCAGTGTGTGGAGAATATGACCAACATAGAAATGCTAAAGGACTATAATGCATAACTCTCATTGATGCTTTTTTCCTTACTTTTTCATATCTAATTCTTCTAGGATGCTGAAAGGGCTGTTACCAAAAAAGAAGGAATAGATTTTGCTAGGGAATATGGATGCCTCTTCATTGAATGCAGTGCAAAAACATGTGTGAATGTGCAGCAATGCTTTGATGAGCTTATAATGAAGGTTCATAATCTTGACATGCTCCACAATTTTTGTTCTTCACAATAACATTATAACGCCATTGTTTTTCTACTTCAACAAAATATGCTATTGGCCATTGATTTTTTCCAGAAAATGACAGGGTCACAGGAAAATGAAAAAAGACAAAAAATGAATTTCGTAATGCCTGGCTTTACCTCAGAAAATGTAAAGGAAAATTAGGCGTGATTACTTTTTTGAAATATTTCTATTTTTAGATTTCTTAGTGACTGCATAATGCGAATAATGAATATAAAATGAGTTTGAACAAATATCTAAAATAAATATATTGAGTTTGACTGTATTCTTTCCCTAATATTTTTCGGGTTTCGAAACAGATACTTAAGTTGATGATGTGCCGTAAGTTTTCTTTCCGGTTGACTTTATCACGTTTTGGATATGCAGATTCTTGATACACCAAGCCTTTGTGTGGAGGGCTCACATGTCAAAAAGAACATTTTCAAGGAGAAGCCACCACAGACTAGTGACTCATACAGTAGTTGTTGCTGATAGTTTTTTTTTTTGCTTGGTCCCTTCCAGTCCTTCTGATATAGCTATGCACAATAGTTCTGTATGTAATATTATCACATATATTAAACATATAGCTCACATATACATTGATGCCCGAGTCGAAATCATTTTGCGGCATGTGTGGCAAATGCTCGTCTTCTGGCTATCAATCTTGAGAAGATTTATTACCCCACAAAATGTACCTTTAATGGTGATACCCGGTCTTTGTTAGTGCTTGAGTACAAAGTCATTGAAACAACGAACGACATATGGGGTGGACTGGTTCCGGGCTGGGCCCGGTTCGGGCCTTGAACCGGCCGGGCCTCGGTTCAAGGTAGGGGAGGCCCAGAACCGGCCCGGGTAACCCCGGGTCCGGTTCGGGCCGGGCCGGGCCCGGTTCGGTTGTATATAATTTTTTTTTTTTGGGGTTTTCCTAATCAACCCCCTACCCTCCCCCAAACCACCCCAAACCACCTCAAATGGCCCAAAATACCCAATCCAACCCAAAAACTTGAAAAAAATTCAAAAAAAAAATTAAATCCGGCCCGGACCGGGCCTGAACCGGCCGGGCCGGTTCACCAAAATGAAAGCCCGGAACCGGTAGCCACCGGGCCGGGTCGACCCGAACCGCCCATGGGCTGGGCCGCCGGGCCGGGCCGGTTCCGGTTCGGGCCGCCCGGCCCGAGCCCACCCCTATTCTATATGTCATTTCTTTTGATTGGTTACACTATTATCAACTGGTTTTAAACTATTATCATATTCATAATTCATCAGGAGAGTTGAACAAAAAGCTATTTGATCAAATATTATATACAAATTGTTATACGGAGTACTAAATTTGAAATTAAACTTCGAAAGACAAGTTTTATAAAAAAGGATGATTATTGTTGGTCTTAGAGACTGCTGACTGGTAGCATAGGTGGTGGCATCACCATTGTTAAATACTTAAATTTAGAAGAATGTAAGCAACAGCACTTCTTAATTTTTTATCTTAAAAAAGAATGATATACACGATCATGTATATTTAACTGGTTGATTTGTAATTTTTATGTTACCATGGGCCGAGGAAGTTCGTTTCATCGTTTTGATAGGTAAAAAAACTCCCAAATCTAATATTCTATCCTCCGAGTCATGATTTTAACAACTCAACTCTATATTAGAAATCATAACTCCTTATCCGCACCAACCGCACACTTGCACGGGTAGCTTAGTTGGTAGAGTGGTGGAAAAATTGAAACATTGACCAAGAATCGAAATCCAGAACGGTTATATGAAGGTTACAGCTCTTGTCTGCTAAGCTAAATCTCTGATGCACACGAGTATAACGTCTATCATGAATTGGGCTGATTGAGTCACTGTGACTTGGGTTAGGGATAGGGGCATGTGGTAGCCTTAGGTTGGGGATTCAACCTTTTGAAACATGGAAATCATGACTCCTTTATTAGCTAAGGTGAAATTACACATCCCTAACGCTTTTACACTTCGATGTGACATGACATTTCTCTTATACAAATTTGACATTTGGTTCCATATAACAAACTGAAACCTTACATGTGCTTTGGAGTTCGGATGATTGCCTATGGTATTACACTTGTGCCTATGGTGTTACACTTGTGTTTGGTCTCAATCATAGTAAAAACCTTTTGTTTCACATTTGATTAGATAAAGTAAAAATGTGCATATTTTTACTTTTTCACATTTTCTTTCCAGCGTTTTTACTTTTAAAACAATCTTCTACTTATTTGAACTTAATCTATTAGTGCACACTTTCCATACAATTTAACTTTGGAGACATCCTCTTCTATAAGGTTATTAGGGCATGAAGTTGGTGATGTGTCAATTTCTTTTGGATAGTATGGTTCATAAGTAAAGGTTTTGTGAATATGAGATTCGCAAAATAATCACATTATTTGATGATGATAATTAAGATTGGATATGAGGTTATCATATCTCTCAATATGATAACATCAATATTAAACTTTTATCATCCATTGGATATGCACATTGGAATGTTGATAAAAACAGGAAAATTCTTGAACACGTCAAATCCATACACGTTTCATACACACCGCCTATGAAGATGTTTTTTTTGTCTGTAAACATTGTATTTACGACGAAAAAATACATCCACATGCGGCGTGTATGGATTTGACATGTATAAATAGTTTTTTTGATAAAAATATATAGGGTTATTGTTAAGAACAACAATTATACACTTATTTGTACACAAAATTTGTACATATTTTGCATACATTTATACATAATTGTGTCTGGAGAAGGATAATGTTGGGCGAACTGCCTGTGCACACAAATAACCATTGAGTGTACGTACTGTGTGTGTGCACAAACAGTTATGTAAGATACTGTGAAATGTTTACAAATTTGGGACTGTGCTTTGGTTTTTCTGTTACAAATATGGGGCATAGATTTGACGTCTCGGACCAATCATTCTCCTGAAGGACTGACTATATGATGGGATACGTTTCCCGAGTCCGCCTACTATGAATTCTAGAACACTTTTACTTGCTGCATTTTACATTTCCGGTTAGAAGTTAAGAAAGTGAGAATTTGTATCTCCTCTATGCATGGCTTCCTCCTCATTCTCAAAATCTAGAACCCTGATTCCTTATCTGCTAAGCACAAGACTCCCTATTCATCAGTACCCTTCACATTTTTTCGCTCTAATTCCATCCTCAAAAAATCTCTGTCGGTTCATTCCACCGCCTGGTGCTGGAGGTGTTCTTCTTACCCTTGTAACCTCTCGCCGTTTTATTCACTCAATCCCACCTGAACCCACTGCTCACGTTTCTCATGATCTTCCGCAGGTAAATCCCTATCTTTGATTCTTTCATCTCAATTGATCCGAGCTGATCACATACAATAACTGCTGCTAATGCGTGTTTGGTATCTCTCTATCGTTAAGATGTGGATTTCCACATGTGAGTTGACATTAATACATTTTGAGTTATCTTCGGCCTTTAGTTTTTGCCATTTGTTTCTATGGCTCTGCCCGCTTTGGGATGATGGACTAATAGTGACAGATATTATTTGTGAGAGTAGTTTTTCGAACAATTGGACAGCAAAATATAATTTCAGATGTGAGCGTAGGACCCACAAATATTCAAAAAAATGTCTATATGAATAATTTTGAGATTACTTAATAAAATGTGGCAATGACTTCAGATTACTCATATTATTTGGGAAGCATAGATGTTGATTCTCTTAGAGTTATTTACTAAACATATGAGTAATCATATGTTGTTTTGACATAGATGTACTAGAGTTTCACACCAGAAACAATTAAAGATGGAATATGAGCCTACTAAGAATAAATTAGATCGTCGACAGGATTCAGTCTTTTGGAACAAATTTACTTAAGTAATACATCCCAGTCCTATACTCCATCCTACATACATGCTTAGGATTCAATATGGATTTCTAAGGATCAAGTGGCACTTTTTTCATGAAAATGTTTAAGAAATAATCTGGACAGCAACAGTTATTATGAACAACTTATATCATGCAATTTCAGGTCCTCGATTTCCCTGGAGGGAAGGTTGAATTCACCCACCAAATGAAATTTATTTCTGAAACCATAGATGAAAGGATTCACTGCTACCGCGTGCTCAATGATGATGGTCTCCCTCTGCCCATCAATTTTCTGAAGGTAAGTTGCAAAAATTACTTGTGTGCCCCAATATCGCCTTTGTGGGAATCTTATGGGGGCTGCTAATGTTATCAGATTGACAAGAAGGTTGCTCAGAAAATGTATACCGACATGGTCACTCTTCAAACAATGGATACCATTTTCTATGGAGCACAAAGACAAGGAAGGATATCATTCTACGTCACCACTATTGGAGAAGAGGCCATCAACATTGCATCAGCAGCAGCACTAAACATGGATGATGTCATCTTTCCTCAGGTTAGTATTTTGTGTTTAGAGCATTACGTACTGTTAGTTTATTGTAGAATTCATAATTGGATTTAGATCACTCAACTGGACCAAACTAAAATACTGAATGCAGTCATTTCACTAGTTGAAGCCAAAACTGTACAGCTCAGCCTGTTTTAATATTTGCTTATTAGTTATGACAGACTCTTAACAATATACATTGATAACTACGAAGTATATTTTGATAACTGTACACCATAAAAAAAAACTACGAAGTATAAATTAAAACAATACGTTTCAGTTGAGAGCAACCACTCTTGGGGTCTAGGCCTGTATTTAGTGTTGCATTGTGTCATTTGTGTGGGTGATAGCTAGTCCATTTTTTTTACGGAGTACTTTTTATCTGCTTTGTCATTTTCCTATCTTTTATTGTCTTTTTAGCTGTTTATGTAACTTTATTTCTTGCCCTTAATTCCCCAGCAGTTTTTATCAGTTTACAGTACCTTTCACCTTTGAATGTTTATTTGTGCTGTTTTATTATAGCTCTGATCTATATTCTTCAAAGCTTTACAAAATTAAAAAAAAAATCTAAACATCTTCCAAACCTTCCTGAATTTTTCCTCAGCATATGTCTTGAGAGAAACAACATCTTTATTCCAGGGGATAGAAATAAGGTATGTGTACATCTCACCCTCCCCGGACCCTACTTCCGAGTGGGACATAGAGGGTATATTTGGTTTGGTTCATTCATCTGTTTTTGAACAGTCAGCTTTGGAGCAAAATAAGCAGTAATGAGGAGAGTGGGTTTAATACTTTTCTCCCTTTTCTAGTGATTTGTATAACCTTCAAGTCAAAGGAATATTATAAAGAGTCTATTATCAGAACCATAAATAAATGGGAAACGATATTTGCTTTATTTTTTTCCTTGTAGTATAGGGAGCCTGGAGTGTTGTTATGGAGGGGATTCACCCTACAGGAATTTGCAAATCAGTGCTTTGGAAATAAATATGATAATGGAAAAGGCAGGCAGATGCCTATCCATTATGGATCTAACAAGCTCAATTACTTCACTGTCTCATCAACTGTCGCGTAAGACTTGTCTTATTTTCACTGTGCAGTTTATAATTCACCATATTTTTAGAACATATATAAGTAATTTAAAGAATGGTTATTGTGGCTTAGTACACAAATTCCTCAAGCGGTTGGCGCTGCATATTCTTTAAAGATGGATGGACAGGATGCATGTGCTATCGTATATTTTGGAGATGGAGGCTCCAGTACGGTAAACATATTATATTCTTCCTATCGGTTTCATCTCGAGTAACTGACTTAGTATACATTTGGCATGAAGCAGATTAGCTTTTATTTTGCACCTCTATACATTGCGCCAATGGAATGTTTTTGTTCTTATATGTTAGTACATGTTTGATGTTTTTAAAAGATGTTTTTCTTCCTATCAGTTTTATTATTTTCTTTAGTTTCATTTTCTTTGAAATAATGATAGCAACAGTGGGTTCTTCGTCAAATAAGACCACAAATGTGTCTCCATTAGTTGCACTGCACGGGTAGCTCAACAGTAGCTGAGTGAGGCAATTTGATTTAGGTTTCAAGTTCAATTCCTAGTAGTGGTGGCATTAAAATTTCATCCAATTTTGTGGCTTCTTGTGTGAACTAAACCCTGAACAACTTCACTCAAACATGTTTGAAATCATATGGTGATTTACTCCTCTATACATTCTGTCGAGTGGAAGTGTGGGGGCACTTGGACCGAGCAATTCCACCTTTTTGGATTGACGAACATGTCTCCACTTGTGACTTGTCCCAACAAAGAAAAGTTTTGTTTCATAATGAGGAATTTGAAGGGGTTGTAACATGTCAAAACTCAAAATATAAAATCTTGCACTTTTTCAATCCCAGTTTAAGGTTTTGACACACTGCAGTATGCACACCATCAGGCTAAATCTCTTTTAACATATTATACGAAGTATAATACGGAGTATATAATAATATCTTATAACATTAAAAAATAAATTTTAGCCAATCCAAACTCTTTTGAGGCTAAAACTTGGATGTTGTATTAAAATTTGGTTTTTGTAATTCAATAAAACGTAGTGTAGTATGCAAGTTTGTCCGGATTATTAAAAAAAAAGTGGTGACTTTATAATCTAAGTGTCAACTATAGTTCTTTATAATCTGTCAAGTGTCAACTATAGTTAACTAAAAAGCTTGAAATGGGACATAGTGAGCATCTTGACCAAACACGACTTCTTATTTTGGGTCTTGGGTGGTATTATTTGATCGTGTGATTCATGTCAGGCTCAGTAGTTTGATCCAGATTTGTATTGATTCGCCTTTGGTGTACTAAATGGATTATCATTTAGGGTGATTTCCATGCTGCACTAAACTTTGCGGGGGTGATGGAGGTGCCCGTGATCTTCATTTGCAGAAACAATGGTTGGGCAATAAGTACACCTGTTAGAGACCAGTTCCGAAGTATAAACCTCCCTACCTTGATTGTTGAGTTGTTTTAACATGTTTGCGAATAGAAAATCTCCCGACCATGTGTAATGTCTATTGATTGATGACATGTAGGTGATGGAGTCGTGAGCAGGGGCAAAGCATATGGAGTTCGCAGCATTCGTGTTGATGGAAATGATGCTCTTGCCATCTTCAACGCTGTTAGTGCAGCTCGTGAGATTGCTGTTAAGGAGCATAAGCCTGTTCTTATTGAGGTTCTTCATACCCCTCTATTTTTTCACAGAATTTAAGTTACGGGGAGCACAAAGTTCAGCAAAAGATATTGATGTTACAAAAACGCCTTTCAAGAAATGAGGGTTTCGGGGACACCACCATTCATTCTCGCATCCCCACCACCACCTATAGGTTCCAGACAAAGTTTCACCCTAGTTCAAATAGAACTGACCATTCAAAACCAGACCAAAAAATTGGTTCAAACCCAGTTCGGTTTTGGTTCCTCCAATGTAGGAACTGTCCTGTTCCGATCCGATTTTTTAGGGCCAGAGACAGAACCAAGACCAACCCTATAAACTGGACCGAAACCCCACACATAAATCGGAACGAGACTGAAATATACTTACTTACAGTTCCACCCTTTCCATTAATCAGACCCAGACCGTCTGAGTAATCACTACTAAGATTTGTGACATTTGTTTGATCCAATAGTATGTCATCGAAAAATGATTACATTAAATTTATCATCACAGGCACTCACATACAGAGCGGGACATCACTCCACTTCAGATGACTCCACGAAATATCGTTCATCTGATGAGATTGAGTTGTGGAAAAGGGTTCGGGATCCTGTGACAAGGTTTAGGAAGTGGATTCAAAGAGAAGGTTGGTGGGACTCTGCAGCGGAATCTCAACTTCAAACCAGTATAAGGAAGCAGGTAAACATTTCTACTCATGTTTCATTGTACCTCTGTTCACATGTACTTGGGCAACATATGTGATATGACAAACTAAATAATGCACCAACAAGAAGATACTCCGTACCAAATGACTCACTGACCATCGAATCCACTGGTTGCAGGTCTTACATGCAATTCAAGTGGCAGAGAAGGCGGAGAAACCTCCGATTACTGAAGTTTTCACAGATGTATATGATGTTCCCCCTGCCAACCTCCTTGAGCAAGAGATGTCACTTAGAGACACCATCAGAAGGCATCCTCATGACTACCCTTCTGATGTTCCTTTCTAGGCTCAACCTGTGAATGCTTACTTTTCACTTTCATTTTCAAGAAAAATGACTTAACACTATTGTACCATTTTCCAGACAGAAGTCTCAAGTACCTTTATCAAATAAAAGAATAACAGGATGGGGATTATTCAGAATTAAGAATATATGCATAAATGAGTGTGTACACATGGGATCACAGAGATGAGGCTTTTTCGGCCAATGACTCGCCAACAGCCTTCAATAAAGCGGGCATCAACTTTTGGTTGGTGACAATGATGCCAGTGTCCAAGTCCAGGTACCTTCCTTTGGAGAAATCTAATGGGTTTCCTGCAGCATCTGTCACTATGCCTCCAGCTTCTACAATATTCACATTAAAAACATACAAAATCATTCCAATTCAAAGCTCAGAGAAAAAGAATGAATGATCTTTAGCTAGACAACCAAGAGGCGCTACATCTAATGTGTGGGGCCCATATTATAATACTGTCTAGGTCTAACTTCTAATTTTTAGTCAACGCAAACATGATGCAAGCTTTTACTAGTTATACTAATTTTATCTATGTGCATAGAGCTCAGAATTAAATGATCATATACACACTAAATGAGCAATACAACTTTCTGTTTAGTTTATACTAATTTTATTTTAAAACTGAAGTGTACTAATGGAAAAACGAGATAGAGGGAGTATATTGGAGCAAATTATATCTAATATTTCTATAAAAATATCAAACAAAACGATGGTGTGTTTACTAGTTAAAGGCGCCTAGTCAGCCCAGAACATAAAGGCAAGTTAAGAAGGCATTTCGCACTCTGTGACTTTGTCCCTAGGTTGATTTTTACAGCACCAGCCTCAACTTTCAAGTATCAACATATCACCCGATAAGATTATGTTCTCTGTTGTTTTTTCAAATTGGACTTTGCGCTCCACTTTTTCTTGGATGCATTTTTTTTTTAAATTCTTGCCGCTTGAATGCCGAAGCCCCAAATTGAGTTACAAATTCAAACATTAAACTAAACATAGAGCGCAAAGTCAAATATTAAACTAAACATAGAGCGCAAAGTCCAAGATAAATAAGCAACTTTTGAGACTTGAGGGAGCACACTACAAAGGATTTCGAGCTTTGGGAGTGCAGGCCGGAAGGACTTTAAAATGGAATCCAAAGTCCAGTTTTGAAATAAACATGGGTGCACAATCCAATTTTTCTTTTTAATGTGTCTGTAAATATTAGGAAATGTATGTAGGTTAAGCTTTAGTATTGCACACAAGCATGGTTTAAAAAGGCACTTACAGGGCAGGTTTTGAGATACGCCTCAAGGTGATGCGTACAGAGAAGGTTTCAAGGTTTAGGTTCTTTTCCATGATAAGAGCCTTACACCTCAAAACGCGCCTTGAGGTGTTTTTCCTTTGTTTCTATCTTTTTAATGTGTTTCTAACTTAAAAAGGGTCCAGTGTTTTTTTATTTAATAAAAAGCCCATACATTATACATGTATCCACACTAAACCCTAACAAGTCATGTTTCATTAAAAAAAACCATACCCTAACGTATGATATCTATTAATTAAGCACTATCAGTGTAGTTGAAAAAAATTCATTCTTCTACACAAAGAAGTTTTCTTGCTCCTGCACAAAGTGGACAAAGACTTAGATGGGTAACCAAGGGGAAAATAAGAAAAATAAGAAGAAAAAAACAAGTAATGGAGGTAAATGATGATGAAGGAGAGGAAGAATTTAAGGATTTTGATTGTGACGACTGATGATGGAAGAGACGATGGTGATGTGTCTATTTGCTTGCTTGAATTCTCATTTTGAATGATCATGTTTGATGATGTGATCATATATGTGTTGGTGTTGGAGACTATTTAGATTTATTATTATGCATATCTTTAGTTGGTTATTACTTTTTTAACGATTTTAAGTTTTATTTGTTGGTGTATGCCTCAAGGATTACGACTCGCCCCTCCTGGACAAACCACCTCAATACCCGAACTAGCCGTTTTAAACCTTGCACACACATAGCCAATGTACCAAACAATTCTTGAACGCCAATCCCTATGTCCAAACTATATACTCCGTATAATACTGCATATGCTAAAAAAAAGTTCTATTTGAGTCAGTCGCAACTTTTCCTTTTTATTCAATGCAATTGGGGGTCCAAGTTATTACTAGTTATGGATGGTCATTTGTACCCATAAATTTATTCCGATATTGTTTGGAGTAATTGACTACAACCGACATCCGACTTTACACGATTATTGTTTTAAACTTAAAGTGGATTTCTGGCTCCAGACACTTGTTTTAGGACAAATTTAGTTCTAGAAACAGGTTTTTTACAGGAGTCTATTATAGTAAACTATGTCTACTATTTCTATAAAAATCCCAAAACATGGAGCTCTACTGCTTAGTAGTAACATGATACTTAGGTACACATGTCCGCAGTTATGAACCGAACCATCTATTCTTGTTCCAATTTTTTGCTACCAGAACTGGAACAGTAAATAGGTGGTTTTTACCCCGTTCTGGAACCAGCAGTTCCAGTTTGGTTCAGGTTCAATTTTTTTTATTTATTGTTCTTAAGAGATTTACTAATTTAGTTCTTATTATTTATAAAATTGAAATAGAAATAAAATAATTAAATTATTTAAATTAAAGGGTTCCAAAAACAAGAGAAATATATTTTTTTGTTTACAATTGTCAAAGTTATATTCTTACTAGTAACAACTTGAAAAATTAAAACTTTCAATTTAAGTGAAACAATTGTACAAAAGAATAAGAATAATACCAATAGCATAATATAAATATATGAATAAAATTTTCAATTTAAGTTAAACAATTGTACAAAATATAAGAATAATACTAATACATAATATAAATAAATGAATGCATTGTGTGTGTGTGTGACTTTTGTTTATCAGAGGCGCTCTGCTTTATAAAGGACTTGGTACATTCATGAATGACATTATTTTACATGCTATTTATTAGGGGCCCTATTTATTATTGCTAATTGTTCTCTGTTTTATTATGCTTTGGGGTAGTTGGGGATATAGATGTATGGGGATTATAATGTTATTTATCTATACTTTTTTGTATTATTATAATTATCATTAGTATTATTATTATTGCTATTATAATTATTATTATTATTATTATTATTATTATTATTATTAGTGCTATTATTATTGCTAGTATAATTTCCATTTTAATATTATCATCATCATATTGCCGATGCTGTTGTTTTTAAATAAAATAAAAACAGTTCCAAATCGGAGGACCCAAACAGCCCTTATCTCATCGTTCCGTTTCAAAAAACAATGGTTCCTGTTCAACTGGAGACCATGGACTGGTCTAGTAAAAACCACCTATGGATTTCCTAGTCAGCCTATAACCTACCGAAACATTTGTAGAAATAATGTAAAATTCCAAAATGCGAGTATTGTGTTTTTTTTCCTTAGAAAAGTAAATTACTACTATCTTAAAAATTTACTGTCATACTTTGGCATTACCAAACTCTAAATATGGCAGTAAATCAGCAAAATTTGCCGTATTTTCCAAGCAGTAATTACTCCTACTTAGGGAATAAAAATATAGAGCTCAAATTTTGGAATTCCAAAAACGTTTTTACTTCTATTTAGGGCAATATCGTTACTTCGTTAGTATTTACAACATTGGTCTCAAGTACCAACATATTATGCATTTAGTTTTTGTTTTCTATTGATTATATTAAGAGATGGGTGGAATAGGTAAGTCAGTAAGCAGGTTCAACTTTAGAATGGCACACCAGGACATAGCTGATGTGCCAAACAATTCTTGGACGGCAATTCCTAATGTTCAAAATGTTCATGTGAAAGCTGATAAGAAATGAAATATCAAAGTACGTAAGTACGTTAACTTAAGAAAAATGTACCAGAAACAACAATGCATCCAGCTGCATGATCCCATATCTTCTCACGGTAGCCTTTATGGGGGAATCTCAAATATATCGCTCCATCTCCTCGGGACAATGCACCATACTTGGCCTGACTATCTATTCGAACAGGTGATGCTTTCACGCCTAGTTTCTTTATTTATGTTTTTTGAGTTAAAATCTTATTAACGAAACATGAGAGATTTATAATGAAGGAGAGTATTATACCCTTGCAATCAAGCTAGACAAGTCATGCATTGAGTGCGCTGCTTCAAAAGATTCAAAAAATGATGCCTCTGCGGGGTTTTCAATGTCTGTGACATGTACCTGTTCGATAATAAGATTAAAATTTTAATTAACATCACTAAGGCCCCACTTTGTAGCATCAATGAGCTTATTCTGCTTATCATTTTAATTTTCATTTACCCCTGTGCCGCAAAGGCTCCCACCTACGGTGGGATAAGGGGGGTCGGATGTACGCAGTCTTACCCTTGTACTAAAGCATAGTGAAAATCGCGTCCAAAATTGCATGGACTGACTGCTGCTTCATAACAAAGAAGCACAGACAATTTAGTGAACCATTTTGCTTTATTCCATCATATTCTCAAGCCAAAAAATAATGAATTTTTGGCTCCATTGCAAATGATGGAAAAAGCTTATTCTGCTTATGAGTAGAATAATTAGAATAAGTAGAATAAGAAGCATTGCCTTGCTTATTTGGCTGAAATCAATTTAATGAACGCTTTTCACTTCAGTAAATTAAGCAAATTCTGCTATTGCAGCAAAAAAAACTACCAAAGAGCTCTAAATAGAACAGAACCGAAGAAGATCACAACCTTTTTAGGAGGAGAGCCATCTAGAGTTTGCATATAGGTGCCAGCTCCAACTTGAGCGAAAAATAAACAACCGTAGTTCTCTTGATAACCATGGTATGCAATAGAAGCTAATGGAAGATTGGGGCAGGCGAGGACACCCAAAACTACCTTCCCTTCATCTAGTAAACCCAGTGCAATAGCATACTGGTCACCTCTTAGAAACCTACGAAATGACATTTCAAGTGGCTCTTATTTCAATTTGCAATAGATTACTGTTTCCTCTGTTAGCTGCCCTCTTTTCATTCATTCTCAGTAAACTTCCTTCCTATTTCGTTAATAATTTAAAATATCTCATCAAAGACTTATTTTCATCAAATGTCAAATCATTTCTTTATTCTAATCAACATATGGAAACAACGCATAGACAATGGAAAACTATTTCAGAAAAGAATGAATTGCATACTTAATACTCCCTCCAAGTATGAAGAATGAAAAATTACCCTTTAGTCCCATCGATAGGATCTAGTACCCAATGACAACCAGAAGGACCACCGTCAGATCTGCCACTGTCAATTGCAGCAAGAACATCATCTTTAGATAAGGGAGAAGTGATTCCTGATTCAGTGCTAGCGAGAGTATCATTAACAATTTCTGTGATGCGCAGAAGAGTCTCTTCTGAATCTTCTCTGCGGAGGTCTTCTGAGTCCTGTACAAGTCCAGCATCCACATTTCAGTTTCAATTAGAACTAAATGGCGGAGTACTGTTTAAGCAGACAAATGCTTCTACGGTACTTCAGAAAATAGAAAGGTGTTATAAATCTATCTAAATAATAAAAGGAGATAAATTGTGCTGATCAATGGACTATCAAGTGAGTGTGGCATCATTGAATCATTGATAACTACCCTATGGGCCTATATGATCCAAGTTAACACTTCAATTAATAACTTCGCAAAATTGGATCAAACAAACAGACCAGGAGCAAGAACATTCCATTTGACAATTTTTCTTATCCTGCAGCTTCTTGCTTCCCTTTTAAATTTCAGTTTGCTATCAGGTACACAAGTGGTTTAATCACAAGTTGCGTTTTAACAATGTGTTAGCTCGAGAAATGGCGCAAATATCTCCAATATGAAAACTTTATTGGTATAGCACTGAGAGATCATGGCAACGCATGATTCCATTAGTTAAATAATGCCTAATCTTTAAAGTTCCCCTCCTAAAATTTATTTTTTCCATTGTTCCACTTCACACTTAAACTGCAAAAGACAAAGGAAGTTTTTTCTATCATTGTAGTAAGATTCAGTAGCAGTAGGAGGCTGTTCACTAACTGGAAATCTTTTTTGTTCTCTGAAAGCTGAAAAACAAAAAACAAAACATATTTGCTTTTTTCTGTTTTCCGAATCAAGTAAACAGATGAAGAGTATCTGTTTTCCTGAAATCTAGAGAACAACCTCGAATATAAGTAAGCAGCAGTTTCTATGATCCAAGGATTATAATGCAGAGTGGTAAATTATGTACAGTGTAGTTAAATATAGATTCCCTGCTTTGAAATTTCAATAAAACAAAAAATATCATATGCACAAAAGTTAACCTCCTCGGCCACTAATGAAAAGGAATTAGAAGGCAACTCCTTCTGCAATATAAGGCTGATCACTGCCTGTGAACCTGACAAGTAAATGTATCATCCAAAGAAGTCATAAGTGCCATCACATATTGGTGAGTTTGTAACCAAATTAGAAAGATGAATCACATGTACCCAAACCCAAACAAAGTGCCTTGACATGACGAATGACTTTTTAGCAAAAATTATCTGTCTTAGACTCTTAGTGTTACAATCCATCAAATGTTACAATACATTTGCTTAATGAATAATGGTAAACCTGCCCTAAATGACGTGCGTTGAAATGTCTGAAGTACTTAAAGTGTTGGTATTAAACAACTTGAACTAAAATGCCATTTTAACAACTTGAAATAAAACTATATTTGATCCTCAATAAGCCATTCCATAAAATACAGATTAATTTGTAAACTTGATCTTTAAATAATAAAGCACATTGTTTGGTAGCAAAGAAGCTAATTTAGAAACTTTCGGAAAGTTATGAACAATACTAATGAATAAATAACACCACGCACCATAATCAGCCACAGTGACTGGGCTCTTATCTGTCTTTGAGTGCACATCAGTTTGCAACAGCGTCTTCTGAACTTTCTGTAAAGTACAACGACAGAGGTATCACCTAAGCTGTTTTCACGATTTTTGGTAGAGAGAGTGAGATTGAAGCTAATTGAATCTACAGGCTCAAAAAATGAATAATGAAAATATCCTTTCCTAAGTCGATGCTAGGTCGTCAGTGAGAGCGAGATGAAGGAAAACAACAGCAAATCATACGGCCAATTACAACTTTAAATGCTTAGAGACCTAACTTCATGGCTGATGGAGGCCTAGCAGAACCAGGGGCGGATCAGTTTGGGCTGTGCGATGGGTGATTATGCTAGTCTTACAGAAATAGCCGGTGGTCTTAAAGGGAAAACCCAAAAAAAATACAGCAAAAAATTGGTTTGGCCTGTCTTCAGCCACGATAGCTACCACCTGAGTAGAACGATTGAAAGAGTACCAATATACTGGAGAGATACCTGACAGAGATGAGCAGCAAGAGTGGCGGCTTTCTTAGCGGCGTGGAGTTGTGCGTCGTACGACATTGAAGATCGAGCTCTCACTCCTAGTCTTCGAGAGCGTACGGGATTGAGAAATGTCCTGAGATTGAAATACGCAAATTTTATTACACAGCCAGAGGCAGAACAAGAGACAGAGGAAGAAGCCCCCAGTGGAGGTAACATTTCTACTCAAAACGTACACCATCAGGAATATTTCAGAGTGCTCCTAAAAAAAATTTAAAAGCTTGGAAAGAGTAGTGAGATTAATTTTAAAATTTTGGTGAAATTCACAAGAATAATCCATATTTTTATGGATTCTATGATAATAATTCATATTTATCCATATTTTTATGGATTCTATGATAATAATTCATATTTAGAGTATCTATAAATATAATCCTTACTACAAATAATGTCCATAAAATTAAATCACATTAATGCTCATTTAATATTTTCAACCTCTACTTTCACTTTCTCATTCGTTACTCTTCGTCCTGGGGAAGAGGAAGACGAGAGCAAGTGTTGAAAGTATTAAATAGACATTAATTTGAATTCACCCAATTTATTTTTATGAACAATATTGTTAGTTCGGGATATTTTTGTAGACACTGTCAGTATGGATTATTATTGTAGAATCCTAAAAGTACGGATTATTCTTGTGAATTTCACCTAAATTTTTATTGTGAATCTAAAAGTACGGATTATTCTTGTGAATCTACTTCTATTTTTTTCAAAAGCATAAACATGATCCATTCCAAACACCTTCTAAAAGGTCTGTGTTGACATAGATAATTTTACACTACTAAAGACATGGTTGTCTAAGTATAATGATCCGCGCACAACCAATATTTGGACACATCATGTAAATCAATATTTTTCCATAGAAAGTAGTTGTGACTTGTGACGTGTAAATAGATGATGTATTTTTCAAATTCATGTTCTCACGCAATGTTACTCACGTTGAATGTTTATGTGCACCATCAATTTGAGTTGTTTATGTGAACAAAATGAGTTTTGGCATAATTTTTCTCATAAATTTAAGTTGTTTATATGAACAAAATGAGTTTTGACATAGATTTTCTCATAAAGATCTTAGTCGTTTGTGGGGTTTAATGCACCAAACCCCCCTGTGATTTGGAAATTCGGCGCATTAGCCCCTGTGATTTAAAAAATGCGTCAAACCCCCTTGTGTTTTAATTAATCATGCACAGAACCCCCTTTATGAATAAATTTAATGATTTGAAAATCATTTTTCCTAATATTTTGATTGAATATGCAGATAAATATATCAAAATCTCTAAATCATACAAAAATGTTAATCATTTTTCTTTTATTTGACAATTGAATTTGTTCATATAAGGGATTTGGCGCATGATTAATTAAAACACATGGGGGTTTGACGCATTTTTAAAATCACAAGGGGCTAATGCGCCGAATTTCCAAATCACAGGGGGGTTTGGTGCATTAAACCCGTAGTTTGTGAGCACGGAATTTAGAAAAGTATGTTTGTACACAATCTTATTCCACAAAACGTATATCTCGGGAGACAAAATGTAGTGCCCGTACTTTTCATATACCTTTTAGGATGTTTTCTTTTGGACTGAAATTTGCTGGTCTGGTCTGGTCTGTTTAAGTCTGGTCTGGTCTGGTCTGGTAAACGTCTGGTCTCTGTGTATTTTATAACTAAGAAATTCAGGTCTGATATGGTCTGGTCTGGTCTGGGACTGAAAACAGTCCAAAAGAAAACATCCTTAGTGTTTAAATAATCAATAGGATCATGTTTTGACTCATTGTTTGAGTGTTATACATGTGAAGAATAAGGATATTATGTGATTATGAACTTTGTGGTAATTGTATTTGAACTTACATGCTTGTATTGTGTTTGAATGTGACAGGCGAGGGTATCCGATGAGCAACAAACTAAACCGTAATAATCAATTTAGTTGCCATGTTAGATAGTATTTGGGTGTTGAAATGTAGTTTAAAATGTCACCGGGGGTCTAGGATGTGAACGGTAACAATCGGGGTCAGTTTAGAGCGAAAATGACATTTTCGGCACCCGAATGGCCTCAAACCGGCGCCGGTTGGACCCGGACCGGTGCCGGTCCAAAACAGAATGTTTAGTCGGTGAAAAGGCAGCATAACCGGAGCCGGTCATGTCCAAACCGGTGCCGGTCCGGTCGGTCTTGGGCAGGTCGGTCAAAAAACGCATTTAAGCGTTGAAACCCCCTTTCAGCCCCAAAATCGATCTTAACTTGTCCCTCTCTCTACAAATCGATCCTAAACCATTCCTAAGGTGATTCAAGGCCAAATTAAACCTATTCTTCATCAAGGATCATTACTTGGTAAGGTTTTACACTTTACATGAAGTATTTCTTCTATATTTTGAGTTAGAGTTCTTGGTAGTGGATTTTGCTAGGGTTAATTGATTTAGGGTTGATTCTATGAAAGTTAATGGTTTTTCTTAATAATTAGGTTGTTATGGATTTGTTTTTCATCCTTGATTAAAAACCCTTGTGAAGTTTTGAGTATTTAGCTAGGGTTTAATGCACCAAACCCCCCTGTGATTTGGAAATTCGGCGCATTAGCCCCCTGTGATTTAAAAAATGCGTCAAAACCCCTTGTGTTTTAATTAATCATGCACAGAACCCCCTTTATGGATAAATTTAATGATTTGAAAATCACTTTTCCTAATATTTTGATTGAATATGCAAATAAATATATCAAAATCTCTAAATCATACAAAAATGTTAATCATTTTTCTTTTATTTGACAATTGAATTTGTCCACATAAGGGATTTGGCGCATGATTAATTAAAACACAGGGGGGTTTGACGCATTTTTTAAATCACAAGGGGCTAATGCGCCGAATTTCCAAATCACAGGGGGTTTGGTGCATTAAACCCTATTTAGCTACCCCAAAGTTTTACCCAAATTAATGAAAGAAGTTGGGTATAGTAGTTTCTTGATGTCTAGGGGCTGGTTCTAAATAGATACATGGAGTCCTTGATATTATGAGAATTAGTTGATGGATGATGAGTCTTGGTTCATGAAATTCAATCGGTTCTTAGTTATCTAGCCACCCCGAAGCTATGTCCGATTTTATGTAGGAAATTGGGAGTTTTCTCACTTATGGGGGTTGATTGGTGAACTTCCTCTCATCTTTAAGTCTAGGGATTTTTCTACAGAAATGGATTTAAGTTTGAATAAATGTGAAACTATGTTGATCAAGTGTAAATCATATATATAGTTTCTCATCGAAGAATCGTTGCCCGTGGATGCCGGACACACACACAAGTGTAAACACTCTGCAAGAACCAGGTAAGTCACCACACCCAATACAGCCACCGGTGAGGCTGCAGACTCCCATCTTCAATCGACTTGAAGAGGGGCTGCATCCACATGCCAATCATTCCCAGCAAGAGCGTCAGCAGGGTATGGATTCTTCTATCGGTCCTCTATAATCTGGCTAGAAGTTTACCTACTAGTTTTCGTAATGTATACGTAGCTTTTGATTTCATGCTCTTAATTATGTCACAAACAAAATAAATGATTTTTGAGTTACTTTTCAGGGTGAATTGACTAAAATGGATGATGACAACTATTTTCACATAAATTTTACTTTATCTTATTAAAAAAAATATTTGAATACTCCGTATAATTTAATCATAATTTAGAAGAGTCAACCCATTCAAAAGGTTCAATCAAAATTTTACCAATTTCAGTATATTTCAACAATTTAGCCTATGAAACTTCTAGATGGCTCTAAATTTTAAACTCTTGTAGATTTGGTTTTATTTCCAATTGGAAATAAAGAAATTGCTCGAAATATGTCAAAAATCTAAATGAAATGTAGAAATAAGACTACTATAGTACTATGTACGTATTTTCTCTCAAAATAGGAATCACTATTGTCATGATTGAAAAATAAAATTATTAGTAGTAAAAATGTAACGTTAATGCTAGTATTGCAACTATTTTGGCATTATGACTTCAAGATAGCAATAACGATGTTTCTATTTGGACTAATATTTGTTGGTCTGATCTGGTCTGGTAAATGTCTGGGCTCTATGTATTTTCTAACTATGGAAGTCTGGTGTGGTGTGGTCTTTTTAAGTTTGATCTGGTCTAGTCTGGTCTGATCTGGTCTGCGACTGAAAACATTTCAAGTAAAAACATCCTAAATATTGTTTATGAACCAATTTTGTATATACTCCCTCCGTCCTCCTATTTTTATCCCATTTTACATTCTCCCTCTGTCCCACTAGATTTGTCTCTTACCAGATTTAATAATATTTGGCAATTACAATTCAGTTGTACTTTATTGATACTTTACCAATTTAATATCAACAACACATTTCTAATTTTCTTAATAAACGCACAACTCTTTTTTATCCCAATATGAGGGGGGGAATTGAGGAAGGTAGTATATAGATGATGAAAGAGTCAATTGAGTACGTCAACTTGTATGAGCTGGAATACAGAGTACATTATGTTGCATTTGACATTCGTAAGTACACGAATTCAGTTTTTATTATTATTTGAGTACATTCGTAAGGTTATCACGTTAATATGGCATAGTTGGCTAACATAATAGTGAGTACATAATAGTTGGCTAAAAATAGATTTGGTATACTTAGAAATATCAAATGTAATAATCCGTATAATGTATTTTCTACTTCATATAAAAGTTTGATGTACTCTTTGATGTATTTTCTACGTTACAGGACAGATAAGATATTGGAATGATGATCACGTGAAGCTGTATGCATGTGAAGCTATCAAACAAACTCTGTTAATCAGCACTGAAATTTCATCAGTTGATCGTCCATCCCATTTCCCAACCAATAATGGATGCTTTCCCTCACAGATTTATCTCTTCTCCCCTGTAGGGCCACCGGAACCAATAATGAAGAAACAGGGCTGTGAAGTTGAAGCACTAGGCATAAACTACACTATCCCCACTGCCTCACACCCACGCCGGAGCTCCACTCAACCCCGCCGCCGCGCTGGAGTCCGCGTCGTGTTGAAGGATGTTAGCTGCCGGGCCAAGCCGTGGGAAATCCTCGCCATCGTCGGCCCCAGCGGGGCCGGGAAGTCATCGCTGCTGGAGATACTCGCCGGGAAAATCCGACCCCAGAGCGCTTCCATTTTCCTGAACCGGAAGCCGGTCGACAGGGCGAGGTTCAAGAAGCTGTCGGGGTACGTGACGCAAAAGGTCCCCTGTTGACCGTCGAGGAGACGTTGACTTTCATCGGCCGGCTCCGGCTGGGCCTCCCCGGACCGGAGCTGAGGTCGAGGGTGAAGCTGCTGATTGAGGAACTCGGCTTGAGCCACGTCGCCGGAGCTCGGATCGGCGACGCGGAGAGAATCCGGGGAATCTCCGGCGGAGAGAGGCGGCGCGTTTCCATCGGCGTGGAGGTTATCCACGACCCCAGAGTTCTGATTCTAGACGAGCCCACCTCCGGGCTGGACAGCACCTCGGCGCTGCAAATCATCGACATGCTGAAGCTGATGGCGGAGACCCGGGGCAGAACCGTAATTCTGAGCATCCACCAGCCCGGTTTCAGAATCATGAAGCTCTTCAACTCAATCCTCCTGCTGGCCAACGGAACCGTCCTCCACCATGGAACCGTCGACCAGCTTACGATGAGGCTGCGCCTCATGGGATTGCACCCGCCTCCCCACGTCAACGCCCTCGAGTTCGCCATAGAATCCATTGACGCAATCATTCAAGAAGATAAAGAAGAAGAAGAAGAAAAAGGAACCCAAAACAGTAATACTGAAACAGAGCTCAAAACAACCCAGACCCTTCAAGAGCTCTTTCATCAGTCCAAGGTGGTTGATGACGAGGAATCCGCCGCCGCCATCACTGATGATGAAGAGTTCATTTATATTTCGGGGTTTGCGAATTCGAGGACGAGGGAGACGATGATTCTCACACAGAGGTTCTGGAAAAACATTTACAGAACAAAAGAGCTTTTCGCGTTCAGGAGTATTCAAATGCTGATTTCAGGGGCAGTCTTGGGATCAATTTTCTACAAGCTGGAAGATGACTTGCTGGGGGCAGAAGAAAGGGTGGGCTTATTTGCATTCATATTGACATTCCTGCTATCAAGCACAACAGAAGCTCTTCCCATATTTTTACAGGAAAGGGAGATATTGATGAAAGAGACATCCAGTGGGAGTTACAGAGTCTCCTCTTATGCCATAGCCAACGCCTTAGCCTACCTCCCATTTCTCCTCATCCTTTCACTCCTCTTCTCCCTCCCTCTCTACTGGCTCGTTGGATTAAACCAATCTGGATTCACCCCTTACCTCAATTTCCTCCTACTGATATGGCTGATTCTCTACACTGCAAACTCAGTGGTAGTGTGTTTCAGCGCTCTGGTCCCGAACTTCATCATCGGGAACTCGGTCGTGTCGGCCGTGATGGGCTCCTTCTTCCTCTTCTCGGGTTACTTCGTGTCGAAGAACGGGATACCGAAGTACTGGATTTTCATGCATTACATATCTCTGTTTAAGTACCCGTTCGATGGGTTCTTGATAAACGAGTTCTCCCGGCCGGAGAAGTGTCTGCAGGCGGTGTTAGGGAAATGTGTGGTAAGTGGGGAGAAGCTGATGAAGGAAGAAGGATATGGAGATGAGAGGAGATGGAGGAATGTGTTAATCATGCTCTCCTTCATCTTTCTTTACAGATTCATTTCCTATGTTATTCTCAGGTTTAGGTGTTCCCAAGGAGGAGGGATAATCAGGTGGATTTTTCTTCCCAAGATGATCATGCCTTCGCAGCCAAGGTGATCAGGAAATCTATATATTATCATATCCCTATACTATTTAGACCCAATCAAGAACAGGTTTTTCTGTTATCTGTTTGTTAATGTCAACCAGAGGAAAACAGATATCATCAAGTATTTGAATTTGAGTTTGATCCCATTGAGCCTCTCAGCTTCAAATTGAACAACTCTTGGCTAAGTGGCTAACTTGAGCTGCATTTAAGCTCTTCTGTTTTTCTTTTTGAAAAATTGGAGAAAAGTATGTATAGTTTCTTATACATGACTTGAACTTTTAGGCCTGTGAGTGTGAGTAGAAATTGCAATTAATGCATGAAGTTTGTGAAAATAAACCATACTCATCATGATAAACAAGATGGATAAAAGGTGGAACACTTGTTAGACACCCCAAATTATATCATTATGTTGGGAAATCTTATTGTCACACTTGTGGGTAGTGTGGTAAAATAAGTGCTTTTTCCCTTTTTGTGTAATAGAAAAAGTAAAAGCACTTTTGACGCAGAAGCCGAGAAAAATAAAAATTGTAGTGTTTGGGAAAATAAGTGTTTTTTAAAGCCAAAAGCTGAGAAGTCCTTTTTTAAAAGGAGTTGCAAACCAACCCTAAGAAGTGTCCGACTTTTTGTCACCGATACTAATAATTTTTTCCATTAAATACTTATGTTTTTTTGAAAGATACATTAAATATGTTTTAATCCCTCTAAATATTGGCATGACATTATGTCACTATAAACAACGGTATTATAATATTGATACAAATCGGTCGAGTTTGACATGGATCATAACTTATTTTTGACATGGCTTCGAGCCAAATGGCTCATGACAAAACGGTGTGGCAGAGAATTTGGTACATATTTACCGTTCCGTGTCAAATTCATGTTAAATCATTTGTCAATTTTGGGGAATTCGTGCCAAACCTATCTTATTTCGTTATTTTTGTAGTGTGAATAATACATTAAAAGGTACTGTGGTATATTCTAAAAATCAAGGTGACTTAAGTAAAGAAATTCTAAAATTGTGAGTAGTTGTCAAGTATGTGAATTTAATAATAAACAAAATACTATCGGTATCATTTATGCATATCTATTGACCTAGGATGACATGAAGTGAAAAATAAGAAATTGTCACTACCTTTCATGAATCACCATTAGAGTTATCGAACAATCATTTAATTAACTCTCACCATTACATACATGTGCTATCGCCTTAATTTCAATTTGTCACTTTTGCTTTCAACTTTAACACCAACAATCAGACACCTCTACTTTCGATTCGTTAATGATATCATCTTTCTTCCCCACTTATCACCGATATTGAAATGTAATACGGAGTAATTGATCTCTTTTCATTTTTACACCATATTCAATGAATTTTTAAGCCGCTATGAGTTGCAAACGATTTCAAAGAGAAGGTTGAAGGCATTATTTGCGGAAGGCAATAGATGTATGTTTAGTTGTGGCCATGATTACATTTCAAAAGTGACCTTGTAATGTAAGGAATTAATTTCACTTTTGGTCATTTGAATTGTATGTCAATTTCCTATTTAGTCTCTATGTTTTGTCCACTATCAGTATTCTGAGTATTGTTTCTTGCCATTTGTATCATTCCGTCCAAAGTTTCGCGCCTCAAAGGCAATTTTAATCACCGAAAATATTGATAAAAAGATCATATATCTGCACAAAGTAATATTCATATATATACTCAAAATGGTCAAAGTAAAAAATGTGAACTTATTCTGGAATTGGTGCGATACACATGAAACCAAATATGGAATTTATTTTATTGCCAACGGATTAGATAGATGGTAAGACAAATCATTCACAAGTAGAGGTGTCACAACTCATTGATACAATGTTGAAGGCAGGTGTTATTTTATAATAAGGTTGGTGTATGGCGGCTAATAGTGACTTTAATTTTATGAGATAATAGTACATGTATATGAACGTAAGAGTCATTGATTGTTTATTTGATAATTGTAAGTGATATTCATGAAAGATATTGATGGTTTTGTTGAGTAATGTTATTAGAGGTAGTGACTGGTTATTTGATGTGTTCCAATGTCTTATGGTATTAGTGATTGTGTGTTTGAAACTAAAATAATAGGTTTGAAGTCACTTTTTTGAAAAATCGACTTATAGTCAAATTTCTGTAATTGAAAACTCTACTAGTGATATAGATCCATTTTTCTATTATTATTAGACTCTTGATTGGTAAAAATATAATCATTCCCTATCTTGGAAAAGAATATGACTATATGACCATAAAAAATAGGTTTGGTGAAGTTAATAGCATCTATTTTATTTAATGAAGTATATAACACTTTTATTATTAATATATAAAGCTGAAACACCTTTGTTATTAATGAAGTTTATATCTTTCATTCCTAATTATAGTTCATTACAACATACCAGGACGGAGAACATATTAAACCTTATATTGCATGTAATTGCACATAATTTTTTATCCCTAGTTAATAGCTATATTCAAGTTGGGAGAATAACGTAGAAACAACCTGATTTAAAAAAAAACGTAGAAACAACCTGATGTCTTCTTTGCAACCCTAGATTCCAAAAGAAAGATACGTGTAACATTTTCAAAGCACTATAACTCCAATTAGTGCCGGAGTGTAAGTTAATTTTTTCAAATAGCACTATAACTCTACTTTTATGAATTTATGATCATCAATCAAATATGTTAAGGAGTATATATTTTTTTTTGTTTTATGCCTTTTCTAATCATGAGTATAGAAGTGCATACCCTCAGGCTAGAGACAAAAGTCTAAATACTAAAGCACATCCATTCCAAATTTTAGTATTATTTGAGTATGAGATCGAATACGATGAACTTCTTTCTAGGGTTATGGGTTATGTTGTTACTGACATGATCTTTCTAGAGTTATGGGTTATGTTGTTAATGACATGAAAATCGCTGAGAACTATGAGTCAATTGTGCCTTCTCCATAGAGGTGTGATCTTTTATGGAAGAAAGCAGCGTATTTAGCGTAGTAGTTAGAGAGAAGGAAATTGCCGTAAGGGCTATAATGTGACAGTGGATTTCCTTAAAGACTATTTAGCTTATTTTTACTAACTTGTGATTTTTACTAACTTGTGATATTAACTGAAGTCACATATTAAAGTGTGTACATACACTCAATTTTCACAAATGAATATACTAAAATATCCTTGTATAAAAGGAAAAACAAACCCTCATTTTCAAATCACCTCATCTTCTCCCTTTATTTAAAAATTAAGGAAAAAATACAGTAACGATACTTTGATTTGGACCATTTCCAAGTAGGATAATGAGATTCATTTTTTCACAAAGTGAGACATGTGCTCTCACTTTGAAGATTTTCGTCTAAAAATCGTCCTCAAAAAGAATGAAGGCGGCGTGGATGATTGAAAAGTGACAAAGAAGCCATATATTCATCTTTTGTATTTATTTTAGCAATATTGATAAAAATGGCAAGTATATCCTTACCATTTTTAATGGAAAGGGCTTATATTGATATATAAAAAACCCATATCCCATCAGTCATACAAGCACCCCCAGTTCGGTCACAAGCTCTAAGATTACATTAAATTATTCACGCCTAAAGTAGCACAATAACTTATGGACTATTGAACGGACAATTTGAGCCCGTTTGGTAGCACGAAAATCGGCTGTTTTGGCTGATTCTGCTGAAATTTATGAAGTTCTGGCTGAAGTGGCTGTTTTGGCTGTTTCTGCTGTTTTAAGTAAAAATTATTTTTAAAATATATTTTATTAATAAAATAAATAAAAAATTATATGTAAAAAAAGTTAAAATGGTCATCTACAGTAACTTCAGCCAATACAGCCAGAAAAGAAACTTCAACCTTACTTTTTCTGCTTATTACACAACTCAGCGCGCGAAAGTAAAAGTTACGTGTTTGGTGAAAAAGTTGGCTGATAAGCCTGATAAGCCAAAAAATGATGTTACCAAACGGCCTCTTTGTCTATAATGACCAAACGAATGAACATGTCTTTCAAAGCATCTCTAAACACCCAATAGAAATGGAGTCCAAAATTAAAAGCAACAAACTAGCAAAGGAAACATAACTCCGAATAAAAATTTGAGTCATCAAGCTCCTAGGAAGGCCTAGAGACCCGACTATCCCCGATCCTGTTTTTTGGTCTTGGTGCCATCTCACTCACGGTTCCTTTTTTCACCTCTGTTCCCACACGTCGACGTTTAGATTCTTCAGCATCATCATAATTAACCTTCTCGAGACTAGATCACCTCCAACCTGGACTATCTAACCATTCCCGACTTCCCATGATTATTGAGTCTCGTTGGTATGTCAAGAACAACACTTTGGTCATAGAAAAGCCAGTCACAAAGGCAAAAAATCTTCGCTTACCCTAGCTAATAGTGATTTGAGGCCGTTGCTTCACATTCTTGGCTTTTTTCAACGTTTAATGTGCTTGAAAAACTTTTAGTTGCAAATAAAGAAATTAGATAGTAGGCCTAATATCTATTTAGCCATTTAGGAATATGCTGAATATCTATTTGGGAATACTTTGTATTTTGACAACCCTTCTATTGTAAATATATATGTCTGGGCTTCTATGGGAGTACCTTTTCCCATTATTTCACATGGTATCAAGAGCTCTAGGTTTTTAGACTCATTTATTTGTTTTTTTATTTTTTTCCCCGGTTCCGATCCTTTGAGGATGAGCACGACTGATACGGCGCAGATCACATGATCCGCGTCGCTGATCATTGTGCTTGCTTCCAGCATGCTGTTGAGTTCTCCGTTTGCTGCCGCCTACGTCCGTGCAACCCACATTCTCTGTGTCATTGACCACGGTCTTGCTTCCAGCGTGTTGTTCCGTTCGTTGCACGTTGCTGCATACGTCCATTCTCTAGCCGAGTCCAGTTCGGCTGCTCACACAGTTGTTCAAGAGCGCTACACCAGTCCCGCTCTCTCCGATGACCCTGTCATGATTCCATTGTCTTCTGTCGGACAAGATGGCCGTCGATCGGGATCCTCTCCGCTGCCCACTTTGTTCACTACTCTTGCTCAAGGTATCTTCAGGGTCTCCAGATCAGGTATCACTACTCTGGCATACATAGGACATTCAGATGCAGATCTACGTCAGAGTTTGTTGTATTTCTTGGTCCTAATATGGTTTCTTAAAAGTCCAAGAAACAACCTACTTGCTCGTGGAGATGATCTTATTGTCAAATATGTGTCTCCTATTCTTCATCTGGCGGATATATTTACTAAGAATCTTTGTAGTCATTAATTCCATTTTTTTAAATACAATCTGCGCGTAGTATCTGCCGCACAGTTTTAGGGGGGGATTTAATAGGCTAATATCTATATATTTACGAATATGCCTAATATCTATTTAGGAATACTTTGTATTTTGACAACCCTTCTATTATAAATCTATCTATCTATCTATCTATCTATCTATCTATCTATCTATCTATCTATCTATCTATCTATCTATCTATCTATCTATCTATCTATCTATCTATCTATCTATCTATCTATCTATCTATCTATCTATCTATCTATCTATCTATCTA